CTTTACTGACCCAAGTGGGTGGAGATGTGGGGCATCAGCAGCTGGACATCTTCGGGATTCGGAGACCATTTATGTTATTGGTGACGAAAATATCACTTTTATGGTATAGATACTCGACGTGTTTTCTAGCTTCCGGTGAGGTATGAATTTTGGACGCTTCATGGAAGAAACCAAGGGCTTTGTTAACACGACTCCTGAGTCTTTTGATGGTGGGTGGAAACGTCGTGCTTCATAAGTAAAGGCATATAGATTCTCTTAACACGATTAACATTACAACAGAGGATGAGAACGTAATCCACCACAAGAATATCTTCGTTTTGTGTAAAAATTTTTATTGCACCTTACTCACTGAGTGATGTTCAGAGTTTGGGATGATAATTCTATTCTTATGGTGGAATAGATTTTCATCATTTTTGTTATGATTAAAAAAAGTTTTATGTGTGTGTGTGTGTGTGTGTGTGTGTGTGTGTGTGTGTTTCTGTGTGTGTATGCGTTCGTGCATGCGTGCGTGGGGCAGAAGAAGGGACAGGTGCCGGACTAGGGGGCGCACGTTGTTCCCCGATTTATGAAATGTTGGAAGGACAATTTGTCCTCATTTGGATCGTTGTCATAACACTGGCACCCTAACAGGCAAACAAATTGATACGGTATGAATCATCACTTTATGGGGGAGGAGGTAGAAATCGCCTCTGTTAATGATCCTAACGATCGACTGGCGCTAAACGTTTTAGGACAAGAAAGACAATACACTGAATTATTAATGAAAAAAATGAATGTTATATGGGACCGAGCAAACAACCGAGAATAACGCAGATAAAAGGGCGTCCCATTTACTTTGAGGACACTTTGTTGGGACGAACAAAACCAATTATGTCATGATTCAGCAGCTTTATTGCTCCCATGAGAACTAAGTAGCAAAGGGCCCAAATACGTTTTGTGAGTGCAACATGCAAGTCTCACACAGTCAATGCAGCTTTATTCCAAGGGGCGCGGTGTGTATCCAGGGCCGTAGCCTGAGCAAAATGCCAGGGGGGGCAGTAAGCGGACACGAGGGGGCGAAGCTACCGAGGGGGGAGGGTGTGGTGTGTAAAATTCCAAATTCCAGGGGGGGCAGCTGCCCCCCCTGCCCCCCCGGAGGCTACGGCCCTGGTATCCCTACTAAAAGTGACCACATGTCGCTTAACGGACGACAAAGAGTCCCACATCAACATTCATTTCTATGTTATAAAATCTTCTCTGACACCAGCTTTCCCGTTATATAAATAATCGGAAGTTTTTTTGGTTAGAAATCTGAAGCCAAAGGAAAAAAAACGTTTTCGAGCTAATCAGCCTTTCATATAATATGATTTATGCTACTTCCAAATCCAAATTCTTGCCCGTCACCCGGGACACAAGAAAAAAACTATTATATTAGTCTAAATATATAGAATTACATTTAAGTCTACTTTGTCTACTTCGTCTACTTAGTCTAATTTGGCCCAGCAAAAAGTGTAGCCAAATGAAATGGAATATTGTCTCAGTGTTGTTATAAGAATGATGGATTTAATGTTTCTGACCAATAATTATTACTTCAGTTTTAGACTGCCTTGCATCTCGAATTGATGTAGATGTAACATTGGTCGAAAAACTTAGACTAATTATTATTATAATTATAATTATAATTATAATTGTAAATTTTATAATTGTAAACCCAGTTCCAGAAAACTTCAAAGCGACGTACAAAGTATTGCATTTACTGCGTTAAGTTCTAAGTCGAACATTCCTCTGGCAAACGATAATGATTATAATGATATATAATGAGTTCGTGATAATTGTCCATTACACCCACAAAGTATACTTTTGATGAACATTTATTGCGCTAAAACGATATAATCATTGTTCGTTATGTACAAACATTAGGCTTAAACATATTAAGACCATAAGGCCCAAATATATTTGTTGATTTACCAAGGTGAGGTGTTGATTTACCAAGGTGTGGTGTATGTGCGCGCGCGCGTATGCGTGTATATGTGTGTGTGTGTGTGTGTGTGTGTGTGTGAGTGTGCGCGCACGTGTATGTGTGCGTGGGCGTGTGAGTGTTTTCAGATAATCATTTGCAAATGCATTGGGATGTGCGCTTTACTACTTGTGTTGTACATGAAGTGACGACTGTTAATATCTACAGTTTTTCAATAAATTCATTGGTAACGAAGCCATTTACAACGTCGAAGGTATATACTGACTTTTCCAATTGTTTTTCTTCTCAGTTTATTCTAACAGTGCCCACAACGACAAGCACAGGCTTACGTCACATTTAGCACTTGTGATTTACGCACTTCATCGTTCAAATAATTTTGAAATATTTGGGAAACGATTACATTAACACAATTAGTATATGTGCCGGCGACTTCAATTTTAAAATATTTGAAGATAAATGAGATTCACAAAATAAAGTGATTTACTGGCGATTCTTATTTTACTTGACCCAAAGTTTTTTTTTTCACAACGAACCTAAAGTTTTGTGTTGTCGTTTGCAAGTGACCGTTTACATTTTTCTCTCTCTTGAACTTCCTTTCCTGAACTGTTATGTCGATTAACTTTTGTGGACGCAGTTTTATTTGAAATACTCCCTTTCTTGCCGTTTCCCTTTCCACAACGAAACAGTTTTAACATATCTTGACGAAACCGATTGCCCCAAAGGCAATATATGATGAAATTAACTGACGCGTTGATTATCAAGAGCAGAGTCACAATTTGTCCAAACAGGTTTGCGCCGAATCTAGTCATTTTAAAGCTCCCTACGATGACTAATTCAAAATAATAAATTTGAAGCAGAAAATCGGGTGTCTGGCAAGCCACAAACACGAAGACCACAACAACCAGTACAAATGTAACATCGTCGCGGCCAGATTTCCCTTTTACCTCTGCGAGATTCACTCTCTGCTTGGCGGCTCGGCGGAGAGTCCAGATCAGCTTCATGTTGACGATTGCCAGTATCAACATTGGGACGATATACATTGTAATGAAATAAAAACCAATGCCATATACGAGAAAATACACCATAGAATTCCCCAGCTCGCTGATCATCATTATGTGTCCATTCTCACCATCCGGGTACTTGCAAGGTACCAAATCAAGCTCAAAGAAATGAGGAATATTGTAAGCAATGGTCAAAAAGAATACGGCGACCACTTTTAACTGTGTTCTTTTTGTTCGTGGATTAGTGGCGGCTTGGATGGGGTTGGTGATCACGTAATGTCTGTCCAAGGTGACTAGTACTATTAACCAAACGCTCGCCTGCTGGGAGATATACATCAGGGGTTTCACGTACGGCATGAGCAGAGGATGAAGCGCCCTCAGATACCATCGTATCTGACCCGTATACTTGTTGATCCCGATGAAGACGACGTAAAAGAGATTGGAGAGAAGATAGAGCGAGTCGGAAACCGCCACCCCTTGGAGCAGGATAGACGTGGTCGTCAGAGGTCGCTCGCGGGAGAGAACGATGATAGAGAGCGCATTCCCACAAATACCGAAGATGATAAAACCGAAACCGATTACGGAGTTGGTCCAAAAGACGGTCGTTGCGTGGGTTGGGTCCCATACGTTCTCTGGACAAACCGTGGAGTTGACCGATGAGTTGTCCGTTAAAAAGCCCTCAAACATGACGGAGCTGTTGAAATCTGGGAATACAGTTGCATTCTCCATTATAGTTTCGGTTTCGTTTTCAGAGGCTACAAGTTGGTTTATCTAAAAATAATAAAAATGGATATTAAAGGCACAATAAAGCACCTAAACAAAAGTGAATCGATTAAGTAAAATATTGATAAATAAAATATTGAAAATATTAATAAAATATTAAAAATATGAATAATATATTATTTATTTATTTTTATTTTTTATTTATCTTTATTTATTTATTTATTTATTTATTTTTTTTTTTTTGGTCTAAATAATGCAAACAATGCATGCAAAGAATAAAATGACCCGTTAGTTCGGAAAGGCGCCATGCTATTTCCGCTTATTACTTGGAGCAATAATTGGCTGAACGTTTCAATTTAGCGTCCCCCATTTTGACGTTCCACTTACGCCAGAGCCTATTGACAATAGGTGGTCTTTTGGGACTCTCCTAACCAACCTTCGAATCCACCCTTTTCCTGCACATAGGATATCACCCATACTTTATTGAGCTTTGCTGAGGAATTTTAAATAGACCACAAAAAGCATCTCGACTGCAAATAACAAATTCAATAACCTGCGTGGTAGTGCTACCTTCCCGGGGCGCTTATCCTAAATTGACTCCACCACGGGGACATTTACTGGTAAGTGATTTTACGGGCCCAAGAGCTAATACTATGATACCTATCCCAAGTGACATTGCGGGCACAAATGGCGGGACACAGCGGTAAATTTGCCATGTTTTAATTGGTTATATGTTTCAGTTGACAGCCGAGCCTTCGAGTGTTTACGTGGGTCCATTTTCCTGAGGACAGTAAATTTCCCACGAGTTAATTGCGCATTATCTTAATTTGAATTAAAGTGATGTATGGTCGCTGTTGTTAATTGGAGGCGCAATATCACACCTGAATTAATTGGAAGAGACACCAAATTTATATCTCTGGGGTAATTATGAATAGTGCATGGCAGGCATAGCATATCAACGTAATTGGTTCATTAGTCTTTCGACATGAAAGGCGTACACCACACGTTTATAACTTTATTTAGAAAAAACCCTGGAAATGTTAGTAATTTTATTTTAATCACCAAAGTGAACCTTATCCACAAGTTGAACTGTTGAGCAAATTACCGATTTTTGAGAATGAGACCCAATACGCCAGCACGCTTTAGATAAAGATAACAGAAAGTTAAATAAATAAATAAGTAATAAAGATATAAATAAGTGATAAATCAATAAATTGAAAACAAACAAATACATACATAAATAACTTACTGGCACTACCTATTTTACCCCAAACAAAAGTGCTCATTATCCTCTAACGATGCAACTCAATGTCAATTTGTTTGACTTTTGGGAAGCAGCATAACGCTCAGCGGAGATTAAACAATCAGCATGTGTGACATTTGCGACGTTACCGCTTTCAGAATATCCGTTTTGGTGTTTTGACAGCTCTTCTACTATACTAATGCATATAACGTTTGTATTTGTTCGGAACGATATGTGCGTCTTTATGGTCTTCAGTGACATAGAAAGATAATTATGGCACATTTTTTGTCTTTTTCCTGTCGTTCGTACCTTTTTAGGGGGAGGGGGGTACAAGGATAAAAAGTTTTACATTTTTTT